CCCTATAAAGGTGTTTAGTTTTATTACCATATATCGTCCTAGTCTCTGACAGTCTCGATGTACTTCACAGCAAGAGTTTCAAGTTTGTTTGCAAAAGTGAGAAGCTTCAGCCATTCTGATTCTGTGATTCCATAACTAATATATTAGTGCATTGAGCAGAAAGAGATAAAGGCTGCTTCATTCCTTCACACAGAAAGATGTGTGGTGACATGGAAACATGGACAGCTAATACTTAATGAGTTTATATTGGTTTGTGATGTCAGATCCTGTGCATGGACTACTTCATGATTATTACCTTTGAGGATATATTGGTTGTGATTTAATTGTCACATAAGCAGAAACACAGGTAATGTTTCTGGACATGTTGGATGATGACTGAACATTTGATAGAGCACATTTTGAAGGAATTGTTAGGGTTATTCTTTTTATATAAAAATAGAAGCAAACAAGACTGAGCTGTCATGTTATGAGGCTTAACTAAAAAGAAACTTGAAGAGTGCAACTTAAGTGCAATTGTAGCAGTACAGGTGAACTGCATGTCAAAATTGCATGAAACAAAGGAATACGTGGAAAACATTTAAACGTACTTGAAGATACAAGAAAGCTTTATGAATCATTTTATCAAGTTTATTTAAAGAAAACTACTTACATAACTGCGTTAACTTTTTAAGAAATATAATTCTAGATGGGTGAGTTGAGTAAATTGAAATGTCTGTGATTTATCGTTATTCTGAAAAGAGCCTTGAAATGTTGCACAGAAATCTGAAATAGAAGCAGAAGTAATATTATCGGCGTAATAGTAGTAGCAATGATAATGCCGGCAGTGGATAATGTACAAGTGACAGATAAGCTAGAAGTAGTTTTTATCAGTACTATTACTTCTGGATATGTGAGGAGCATCAATCTGAAGCCTGTATGTTTTCACATTGTTTCATATTAAATGATATATCCATTAATGACATGTAGAAGTACATAAATTGTGAACAATGATACGATTTTCATATTATTGTAGCTAGGAATTTTCATAAATACAGTGGCTCTTAAATCAGAAGTATAGATAGGTGTGAATAACTTAGGAATTTGGTTGGGCAAGTATGAGGTGAGAATTAATGCAAAGAATAAGATAATAGATGTAGGAAGGAATATTCCAGACAGACATAAGCCAGGAAATTCTTCCCTACAATATAATTATGAATAAAACACCTTCCACATCATTCTCTTGATAAGAAACTGAAGATACTGGTAAGAAACTTTAAATTCAGACCCATAGAAGGCAAAGACTGGTTTGATTTTGAAGTTCATATATTGGTATATAGTTGAAGTTCTGTGTTAAAATCTTGCTGCAAGCTTCATAGGATTGCTGTCTAGCTGAGCAGGTCCAGAAGTTGTCATGCTGTGTAGTTATGGTCAACCTTGGTTAAAAGACTTGGTTAAAGTCTAGCTGAAGCAAATTTTAAGAAAAGTAAGGTCAGCATGTTGATTGGGACTCAGACAACTTAAAAATGCAAGAGCTCAGTGCATTTTCAAATGTTACATTCTCACTGTGTTTACAAGAAAAAATAAAGTGCTGCTGCCTTAGGTAATTGAAAGAGAAAATATGTTTTGGAAAACTTTTTTCTAGCAGTTTTTAAAAGGTAATGTTAAGTTGCCTGTGAGTTTTCTTCTTGTGGTGTTAGGATAAAAAGCCTGGTCTCACACTCTCTTGTGCTGCCTATTGTGACAAGTGCTAACAGTTTAATTAATCTTCACAATTGTAAATACAATTATGTAAGTACATAGTTGTATTTGTACAAATAACTATTTATTTGTAGGTGGGATAGCTAACACTTCAGTTATAGTGAAGAGCTGGAAGTAATTTTCAGGATGTCAGGAAAACTTTAGCTGTTAAACATGGTACTTTTGAGTTACTCTGGTTACTTCTTCTGTAAAATGATACTTGCATCAAGTAGATTATTGTGTTAGAGTAATAACTGCGTAGTAAGTCAGCTGCACTGCTCTCTTCCATTCAAGACCTACATTCCAGCCCATTCAGTTCCATATACTGGACACAGGGAAAAAGATTTATTCTTGGTTGATTCTGCTAGTAGAGGTCCTGAATCTGTTGCTTAGGCCAGCATATACTGCTGTTGTTAATATTCCACATCTTTTTTCAGGACAAAGAAGGAGTGGAGGGTGTATCTGTGGGAGCCATTCTTTCTGACTACCAGAGAGTCCGAGTTGAAGATGTGTAAGAGAATATTAACCCTTATTAATATACACATTCTGGAAAATGGTTTACTTTCTTGATTGTTTTCTAACTCAAATTCTGGAGCAGAGACAGTTGCTTTATCTCTCATGTCCTGTGATACCTAATTTATTCAATTTGTTAATCTAAGTATCTTCCCCCTTACCCTCATGGAACCATGTACTCATTACTAAAAATCCAGTAGAGACTATACTGGATTTTTTGATTGCTACTCAGGTCTCGTAATGGACCTATTGAAAATACTTAGAGTTTTCATATGAAAATAGTAGAATATATTCAGATCTCCAATTTCAACAATTCAGTTGAAATCTCAATTGAGTAAGAAAGCTTACTCAATTCCAGTGTTGCAGTCAAGTACCTCTGTTTTTTGACAGAATGTTAACATACAGGAACATCCTGTGACTTATCAGGAGTTAAATGTAAGAAAATCCTTGTATGCGTATCTTCCCTTACTTCGTTAAAATCTAAAGTATGTTGTCATTAATCAGGAGCTTTCATTTGTTATTTCTGCTGTGCACATTCTCTAAGTGTAGATGGATTGTGGTACTTTTAAGTGTCTTAATTTAAGAAAAGGATTATGTGATGGGAACTGTGTGTGTTATATATGCCTAGATTTGATTTGCGTCTTGAAAAAAGTTTTCAATATGTACGTCTGATGAAATACAAAACCATCTTGTGTTAAAAATTAATTATAATTTCATGAGTTCATTAGTTGATGATAAAAGTAAATATATGGAATCCTTCATGAACTGTAAGAATGGTGAAATTAATGCTGTGCCAACTTGACTCACATCAGCAGGTTACACAGCATGGGTGTTTTCTTTGTGCACTTTACATAGGTAAATTGCAGTCTGAAATAGATCCCTTCTTCTTTTGCCTTACACTTTAACATCTAATGACTGTCTGATTATGTTACTAGGTATTTTAGAAACTACTGCTTTTGCTGATTGTGAGTTTCAGATCTTTTACCACAGTCAGAAGATTGACAGGACATCACAGTATTTCAAAGAGACTTGATTAATTCCAATGTCACTCAGTGGTTAAAAAAATTTTAGTTTGAACTGTAGGTTTACCCCTTGCAATAAAGTTGTTTCACATAAACCATCCCAGTTACTTGTATTCAACTAATTTGTTAAAGTTAGGCACCTAAATGAACTACTTAACATTCAGAGTTGATAAAAATTTGCGTTAATTTCACAATTCAGTGCTTTGTTAAAGTATATGGAAGTTATAACAAAACGAATCAGATTATGTGGGTGCTAACTATGGATTTACATGTCATCTTTAAACATCCATCTAACATACAGGAGAAAGCCCGTATGTTGATAAACATGCTAATTGACAAATAAATGTAATTTTTGAGTGCTCTGTGCCAGTCCCATATTTAAAAGTTTTTCAGGAACTAGGTATTACATATTTTATCATAAATTGATAGTACTTGTCAATTTACAGGAGCATTACCTATCAATAGTGATTCTCTAATTTGATAAACCATCAAATGCTGCATATCAGATGCTGTCTAAATATGATACGTATCAAAATAATTAAATTTACATTAACAAGTTGTTAATTTCTATCAAAAGCTGTACATTTGCTGAATAATTCTTTTCCTTGGTTGTTGATCCAAATCACAGGTTTGTTGAGTGTAACAAATTCAGCATATTGGACTAGTGACATGCACCACATTTATCACTTTGCCTTAGCTGTGTTCATGAAAAGTAATCACTTCCAAAGATATTAAGTGATTTGCATCCCTAAAGGTTTTCCAATGGTTTTACTTATGTTCCCATGCAAATCTGTTTACACTAGTGAGTTACATCTTACTTAAATTATCTATTATCTACTTAATTTATCTATCTTACTTAGATAAATTATAGTTAGAACATTTTTTTTCTTATATTTGACTTAATGTATATACCAAAACCTATCAATAGTATTGTAATTGAAATTGTAGAAGAAAAATTATCTAAAGGTAGGAAATGAGAGAAATTATTTTGCTTTAATTTCATATGAATCGTGCTGTGTAAAAGCATAATGCTTGGCTTTATCCATTTTATTGTTTGTTTTTAAGTTGCAGAAGGCTTAATCTTCAGCCTTTAGCTTACCTTTGGCGCCAGAACCAGGAAACACTGCTTAAAGAAATGATATCATCTAACATTCAAGCCATAATCATAAAAG